TTTGGACAAAGCCTCTTGGATGCCCGCCTTTGGCAGGTGTTTACAGACAGTCTGAGGGCTGGTTTCTTCTTGAATGGAAAAGAGCCAAACTAGTTCTTCTAAGGAAGGAAGGGCGGTTTGCGGACTCGCCATCCGCATACCGGCCGATATGCTTGCTGGATGAGGCAAACTGCTAGAGAAAATAATAGCGCCGCACCAGTCATTTGTCGCTGATAGGTCTTGACCTGGCCGACTGCCAGTTCAAATTGCGGGAGGAATAGTAAACGGAGGACGCCATCCTCCGTCTGAAGTCCATCTTGGACGCGTCGGTCAAGCGGGAAGGGAAGGTGTTAGCAATCTCTTTGAACATATCCAAAGCCTTCAACTTTCTTGGGACAGCATAGAACGGATCCTGAAACATCACAGGGTCTTGTCCTATCTGGGGAGAGTCTTCAAGGACTACTTCCGCGACAGGGAGATTACCTATGTCGGTACGGAATACCGCATTGAAAGAAGATGTGCCGCGAAGTCTCGCAGGGATCAACGCTGAGTCCTTTACTGTGGGACCTTGGGACGATGCGATCATCTAGACCGTTTTGCCCTAAAATTTCGGAAGCGGTGCACTTGGATACCGTTCAATTAGACAAAGTGCAATTGGACACGTTGCAATTGGACACAGAAGATGCACACCGTTCAGTTAGACACTGTTTAAATGCGCACCGTTCACTTAGACACCGTTTATTTGCACACTGTTTATTTGCGCACCGTTTATTTGCACACTGTGCAGAAGGACACTGCTTATGTAGTAACTGTGCAGTTGTACACCGTACTGCGCAGGCGCATCCGAAGGCCCCGGCGCAAGACGCGCAGACTTAGCGAGGGACCAGCGAGGAGAGAGGAGCGAGAAGGAGGGGCGAAGCTTCTCCCTCTGTGGGGAGCGCAGCTCTCCTGCCTATACCCCAGTCAGAAATCGACGTCGATCAACCGTAGATCGACTAGTATAATCGACGTCGAATCGACGTCGATTCGACAAGGTATTTCTGACTGAGTACGCTCACTACACAGTGTAAAAGAATGGGCTTCTGCACTGCGCATCCTTCGGATGCGCCTGCGCAGTATGTGTACAACTGCACAGTTACGATATAAGTGGTATCCTTCTGCACAGTGTGCAAATAAACGGTGCGCAAATGAACAGTGTGCAAATAAACAGTGTCCAAGTAAACGGTGCGCATTTAAACAATGTCTAAGTAAACGGTGTCTAATTGAACAGTGCGCATCTTTCTGTGTCCAATTGCACCGTGTCCAATTGCACTGTGTCTAATTGAGCGGTGTTTAGGCGAATGCCATTCTAAAGCCTCAGCGTTATTTCTTACGCTAATGATTTTTTGATCGTGTTCTCAGAACGTTTCTGAGAAGAAGCCAGAGTTAGAGTTGAAGTGGGCACAAACTATGTCGGTGGCCGAATCGGCAGACTGGATCTCAAAGTGGCTATTCACAAAACCGAGGCCATGTGGTTTTATGGGAACCTCGGGGAACATATCCCCCGGAACTCAGCCTTTAGGTAGAAAGCTCGGGTTCCGGTAGAATTTTGGATAAAGTATCTAGGACTCTATTTTGACTCGCGCTGGTGCTTCAAAGCACTTTGCTTGTTTGGCCTCCAGAGTTCGCAAGGTGGTGACCTTTTTGGCGAGATTGTCAAATCTCGGGGACCCGCCAAGGGAAGTCCGCCGCTTCTACACAAACGTGGTCCACGCGGTGGCTCTGAGCGGATGTCGCGATAGTGGCCTGTGGATGAAGCAACTTTGTTAAGGTCCGTTCTGCTCAGCGAGTAGTGGTCCTCCGCGTCATTTGCGGGTACACAACCGTGTCGTATGAGGCGGCGAGGATTCTGGCGGGATCTTTTTATTTGACCTTATTGCGCGGATGTACTCAGCGAGATACCACAGCCGGGTGGCATTGCTGCGGGAGAGTTACAAAAGGCCCCGCCTAAACTTGGCACTCTATAACTCGGAGCATCAGGCCCGGTGACAGTTGGAAGCAACGTCTGCCACAAGTGGCCACCCAGAAGTTCGTCGGAGCCGTTAGACTATTCATCACAAAATGGCTGAACAGCGGCACTGGTAGATTTACCTACTCCGCGTGACTCAGATGCTCATCAAACACAGCTATTTCGAAGAGTATCTGAGTTGCAGTGGAAAGGAGCCAATGGCACAGTGTCATGTGTGTGGTTGACCAGCGACTCGGCGCAGCACACCCTAGAGGAGTATCCGTAGTGGGCAGCGGAGCGCTGGGAGCTGATCGGCCGAATAGATAAAAACCTTTCCCTGGCGGCTGTCATGCGAGCGTTGGCCGCCAGGAGAGAGGCAAAGTGGTAAGCGGTAGCCTTTTTTTGTGAACAAATGATGTTGTAAAAGAAAGTCGCCGAGCGGGAGAAAAAGAGACTAGCTCTCCTTCTTGGCGACAGGCTCAGATAGGAATGTGCGCTGGTGGTGACGGTGCTCCCGCTGCCCGCGCACCTCACCGCAATGCGAAAATCCTCGAGTAACATTGGTCCACCCAGGAGACTTAATCTCTTTGAGTGGGAACCTGATAGACTAAGGCGATGAGTGTTGAGGAACCGCGTCCCTCCATTAACCCGTCGCCTTCAAAGAGCATAGCAAAAGGTAGGAAGGGTGGAGACACACTGGGCTCTTCGGGAGCCATGACTCTGCCGCAGCCACAGCTACAAGCGGCTTGCGCCCAGGAGGGACATTGCAGAAGTTCCACCCGTTTTTACAAAAGCGAAAAACTCCGACGTCACTTTTGAGGAAACTGTGTTCTCTTCCGGGAGAACCTGGTCAGACTGAGGCGTTGAGAATTGAGGAAACTGGCTTTCTCGTTAACCAATCGTCTTGACAGGAAAGTGGAGAAAGCGAGCGGCAGCCCCGGGAGTGGAACTGCCACTCCCTGGGGGAATTATTGCAATCAAGACCGCGATGGGTCAAGGAAACTCTGGCTCGTCTTGCACGCGGTCGCGAGACAGAGCGACGCAGCGGAGTGTATCCCACTAATTGTCACAGTTAGTGGCGACTGAAGGAAGATTGTTTTTCTTCCGAGAAGTCGTTGGCCCAAAAGAAAATCTCGGCAGTGTCTTAGCCAAGGGTTCCGGGTCTCTCTCTGCAGTAGGCTGAGCAAACACACAGTAAAGGTTTTTGTGAGTACACTTCCCAGTTGAGAGGGAGTCCCACATAACTCGGACGTCTCTCTCCAAAATCGGGGTATCTATAAAGGATTTGCACCACGCAACAAAAAGTTAAGGTAGTTTCGCAGTGCGGTAAGTTATTTTAAAGTAGATGTAAGGTATATTGTAAGAGCGGAAATATTAAATTGTAATTCCTAACAGAAACAATAAAGATAATTCTATATAGTTGCGCAAATTATATCAATATAAAATTAATGTTTTTCTATTGGGACCTTGAATAAGTTCTCGCTGTTTCCCAACAGATGGCGTTACCAGAACTGCGTGCGTGTAATTTAAGATGGTAACGAATCTATGAAAAATACCATATTATAGGCAAGCTTGAAATTCAGTGTATGTTTTAAGTTGGATTGCATCAGCCATATCGGTTGGACGTGCGCAGTGAATATTTTTGGACAATTGTCGGTGTTTTACACCACTTTCTTTATTATTATCTTTAATTTAAACAAATGTACAACTCCGTGGATTGGCGTCAGGAACCCAATCCACGGTTTTTAAACCTGTTATCAAAAAGACGTAGAATGGCGTATGGACTAGCTTTATAGGTCTACTGAGCCAAAAGAGCACCAACCTTCAGTGTATGTTATTTCGCCCAAGTGTAAACAACTTTTTTTCATAGTGGTAAACATGTCGAGTTTCATGCCAAAAAAAGAGTATTTGTGGGGAATTTTATTGCACTATTTGGTTCAAAACAAATCTGTAGCTGAAGCACACAGAATTCTTGTTGAGACTTACGGCGACCATGCTCTGTCGGAAACAACATGCAGAGATTGGTTTAGACGCTTCAAAAATAATGAATTTGATGTTGAAGATAAAGAACGCTCTGGCGCACCAAAAAAGTTTGAAGACGAAGAATTGGAGGCATTACTTCATGAAGACTCATGTCAGACGCTAGCTGAACTTGCAGAATCATTAGGAGTAGATGACACAACAGTTTCGAAACGTTTGAAAGTATTAAGAATGATTCAAAAGCAAGGACATTGCCGTACGAGGTAAAGCCGAGAGACGTCGAACGGCGTCTTTTCACGTGTGAACAGCTGCTTCAACGGTAGAAAAGGACAGGTTTCTTGCATCGTATCATGACTAACGATGAAAAGTGGATACACTACGATAACTAAGCGTAGAAGATCGTGAGGTAAGCCTGGCCATGCATCAACATCATCGGAATAGCTGAATATCCATGGTTCGGAGCTTCTGCTCTGCATTTGGTGGGATCAGCTGGATGTAGTTTATTATGAGCTGCTCAAATTAATTAAAATCATCACGGGAGATCGGTATCAACTACAATTGATGCATCTGAGCCGAGCATTGAAAGAAAAACGGCCGCTATACGAGCAGAGACACGACAAAGTGAATTTGCAACATGCCAACACTCGGTCACATGTTGCATAACCGGTGAAAACTTATTTGGAAACGCTTAAATGGAAAGTCCTACTTAACCTGCCTTATTCACCAGACATTGTTTCTTCCGATTATCACTTGTTCCAATCGATAGCACATGGTCTGGCTGAGCAGCACTTCTATTCTTATGAAAGTGCCAAAAAATGGGTCGATTCTTGGATAGCCTCAAAAGACGTGTCGTTTTTTTGACGTGGAATCCAAATGCTGCCAGAAAGATGGGAAAAAGTAGTGGCTAGCGATGGGCAATACTTTTAGTAACATGTTTTTTACGACGTTTTTTAAATAAAGCAGTAATTTTCACGAGAAAACAGTGAGAACTTATTTAAAATCCCAATATAATTTATTAATTATGTTATATAGTTTGATAAATAATAGTACATACCATTTGATTAACAAAAGCGTGAGAAACAGGTTTCGATTTTAAACTTAATGACAGCGGTTGATGTCTATAGGACCCCCATACTTTTCCCGGACGCAAAACATTCATCGGCAAATCTAGTTGAAGCTGTTTAGAATAAAAAGAATTTTGAAGAGAAAATTTAGGAGCATTGATGTCTTGTATTAATACGCTTCTGATTATTTCTCCACCTAATTCCTTTCTCAAACAATTTACAAATCCCAGCAAACCACTTTCAAAATCTCCTTCGCTGACAAGTAGTATTCTATTATTTGTTTCATTTTCCGTTTTCATGATCAAATTCAGCTTTTCGAGCCAAGTGAATTCAGTATTGTTAACATAGATAATTTCCGTTTTTTTAATCACTTTGTCTTTTTTCTTCAGTAGTATAATACTCTCTTTCATAGTACTTTTTTCTAATATTATATCTAATCCGTATTTCGAAAGTACCGAAGGATTCTCAAGTTTGAATGATTTCTCTCGCGTCAACACAAAACCTCCATTCTTTAATTTTGATAAAATTTGTTCTAGCTGAATATTTTTACTTTTTGTTAGAAGCCCGATACCAACGACGAGGATAGCGTTCTCTTCAGTGGATAGGTCTTCCATATTTATAAAGTTCACGTTTGGAGGTAATGCATCGTTGAATTGATTGGATGATGCCGTTAGAATCACATTTGCCTGAATCAAAGGTAAATCACTCAGAATTTCGGCAATTATAGGAGATGTTAAGTCTTTTGCTATCACATTGTCAGAGCTATCAATCAGTTCGATAGTCTTCACATGAATAGCTTGATGATATTCAAGTGCAATGTGCGTGGATAATCTGATAGCTTCTTGGAGAGAAACTTGCGCATCATCACGATATGCGACAAACTTGTATTCTTCGAGAACTGAATTACCGGTTGATGGTTGGCGGGATATATCTATTGCTCCTACACCACGAATTTCGACTCCACCTGAGATGATGGTCTCCCATTCTTTGTACACATATACTGATAACTCTACAATACAAAGAATAACAATTAAAATATATATAATAATTGCAAAAAAGTAACTTATACATCAAAATTTTCTGACAAACTTACGTCCATCTTCGGAACCTAACTTTTTGAGTTCTTGTTGGTGAAACTTAGTATCGATTACTATCTTCTGTATTCTCATAGGTACGTACAAATTCCTCGTGTCCAGTCTCAGAATCATCATTTGCAACATATTATCAAGAAATGTTACCCAATTATCTGTCCAAGTAATGTGTCCTTTTTTTCCTGAGATTGAGGAACTCTTTAAGGAGCAAAATGAATTACTGTATTGATAGCCGCGTAGTCTTAGTTCTTTATAAATGTCCTTCGTAGTCATTATTTCTTCCTCGTCGTCATTTTCTGATAAAAGTGCAACTGGTATTTTTTCTTGTACGGGATTTTTTACAGCGCGAATTATTCCGCTTGCAACTGCACTGCCACTTTCTGTCACTTCAAACCTTCCAGTGCCTACATAAAAACCATTGTTGTAATGTATCAAAATATTTAATAATCAATCAATCAATCAATCAATCGCCCGTGACAGGTTCAAAGAAAATAAATAAGGCCGATACAGGCAGTATATACCAGATGGAGGTGTATAAAAAGAATTCTTTATTCAAAAGATCAAACGTTTTGATCCGTAATTTGGACCTCAATCAAAAGTTTAGACTTTAATTTTATAAACATGTTTTTCGACCTATTGCGTACTTTTGTTCTTTGATCATATAGTGGGGGTTATCTCTATATATTTACCTGTTGCCAAGTTTCATTTCAGTACACAGTTTTGTATTTCATACATTTTACAACATTTAATATTTTGTGTGATGTTGTGAAATTTCATCTTGTTTTTACTTTAGTGAGTTTATTAATTTCGATATATTTTTTAATTTGTATAACTATGTATTNTTTGCGCTAATTAATTAATTATTCTTACCAGATGTAACTTTTTACACTGAGGAAGGTCCAAATTACGGATCGAAACGTTTGATCTTTTGAATAAAGAATTCTTTTTATACACCTCCATCTGGTATATACTGCCTGTATCGGCCTTATTTATTTTCTTTGAAAATATTTAATATATAATAAATTAATATTAATTTTAAAATAATAATTAAATTAAAACAATATAACTAAAGTTAATAAACGCGTCAAACGCTAATGCAAAATGTAAATTTTTTTTTTATTTTAATTATACAAGGTGGAAAAAAATACACAAACACCTAAATATCTCAGAAAATATAAGTTTTACTTATATTATCTACTTATTTACTTAGAAAAGTGTTTTAGACAAAAGTAGGTTTAGTCGTAAAAGTAGACACGATTTAAAAAGATCTATTTATTAATTGTATTACTGTGACTTTGGATTACGCCGCCAAGATCAGGTTAAGATCACATTGACTTTTTTTAAATAGAACTCCCTATTTTTTATTGCAGATTCTTATAGCCTAACTTAAGAGCTTTCCAAAACGCTATAATAAAGTTTATTTTCTTTAAGTACTCTCTTTGTACGCAATTATCATAGCCTTTTCTTCTTTATTTAATATTTTACCTTTTGGCATATTCACAATCAAACTAATCTAAAACTATTCTTTATTTTATAAAAGTATAAAGGCCCTTCTACAATAAGATATTAGTAATAAATCAGAAGTCAGAAGCAAGAAATTGATCAATCACAGTCAAATCACAGAAGAATAATCGATTGTGATTAGTCAATTTCTTGCTTCTGACTTCTGATTTATTACTAATATCTTATTTTAGAAGGCCTTTAATAAATTCAATACTTTTCCATGTCGTACACAGTACTTACTAAGTTAAAAATGAGAAATAAGAAAGATGGATTTATGGAAATGTTGCTTGAAGTTGCAGTACGATGCTATAATAATCAGAAAAACCGGCCCAGTGGTCTTGCGGCCTGAGTGCAGGAGCTGCAAACCCGGAGGTCCCGAGTTCGAATTCGCTCACCACCTAAGGATTTTTTCCGGGCCGATCCTTTTCAACCGAGTTTATCGGCGAACTAAATCGGGCCTCCAAAAATTAATTCGGGTATAATTTTGAATTAATTCCTTCCTCCCACAAGGCGATCTTAGTCACAACATCCCGAGCACGAGCCCGACACAGATGAGCACGCCCACTGTGAAAGAAGGCCATGTATCGCGTGGTAGTAGGAACAAAAACTGCACAGTTAGATTTCAAAGGTTGACTATAGAGGTAGTACCTTATACATACTCCTCCTTGATATCGATATTGAATTACTGTGACTAAGCCCAAAGAAAAAACACTTGATTTCGTAGAAGAACTATAAGCCTAATAGGACAAAAAGAGTCCTCTGGCACTATATATACTTAAATAAAAAAAAAAAAAATAATAAAAAACAAGCGAGCGCGGCGTCTGACTCAGCGAATCTTGCGGTCAGCCAATATTCGGCGGTACGTAAAGGAGCGAGCATCGTTCAAGGAGTAAGAAGCCACTGCTCTCCGTGATCAGTTGATTGATGATCACGTGATGTAACGCGATGTAACGTACCGAACAGCAAACTGCCGCGCGCGCCAAGAACTAATAGAAATGGTTAATAACATTGTTTTTACAAAAAAAATGATAACGCTGCTTCCACAGCCGAAGTAAAAAAAAATGCCGCGGGCATTAAGAACTAATAAAAATGGTTAATAATATTGTTCTTTCTACAAAAGAGAAAAATAATAGCGCTGCTTGCATTTCCCCTTACTTTACGCTGTGCAAGCAGCGCTATCATTTCCCTGTAGAAAGAACAATGTTGTTAACCATTTTTATTAGTTCTCGGCGCGCGCGGCAGCTTGCTGTTCGGTACGTTACATCGCGTCGATCATTAATCAGCTGATCGCGGAGAGCAGTGGCTTCTTAAGACCATTCTACATAAAACGCAGACGCAGGTCACAGGCTGCTGATCTCGCGGAATTGACCATTCACGTTTGTCAAATCAGCCAATTGACTTACGTGATTGGTCAATTCCTCGAGATCAGTGGCCTGCGACTTGCGTCTGCGTCTTATGTAGAACGGCCTTTACCCCTCGAGCGCTGCTCGCTCTCTTGCGTACAGCCCATAGACTTATATAATAGATGGAACATTCGTGTAAGAGAAGCTGAAGCTTCGTTAAAAGAGACAGAAATAGTGGTGGAGTAGTTCTCTTCTTTTCTAACAGTGAGTTGATCAGTGGCCGCGGCAGGCCGACAGCAACGAAGATAGACGTCCGAGAGTCAGTTAAGAGTGATAGTGAGAAGTGATAGCATGCATGTAGCATGTTGTGACGTGACGCCTTTTCGGCGCCCGTCACAGTGTAGTTAGCACGGCCAGAGAGGAGGACGGTAGGCTCGCGTCTCTCACGATTTAGAGAGAGCGACCTATCCTTGTTGCGTGGTGCACTTAGATGCACCGGTTTCTCGTTGTCGATGCGCTCTGCACCGACTTTGGGTACCGTGCGCCGACGGGCGCAAGCGAATGTTTCGCGCATATTATTGTGTAACGACCGTTTTGTATTAATGTTAATTGCGTTGCGTGAGCCGCAGGGCGGCGTATCGTTTCGTGTGTCTGTGGTATTTTGCTTTAGCGGCAAGAGAGAGACACCTTAGGCATCGGCGTCAACCAGGAACAACGATGGAAAGACAGCTAGGCAGGAGCGTACGACGTGGAGAGCAGAGTGGCGGGAAGCGACCGGTTGTCTCAGAAAGGGACGGTCGGAGAAGGTGCCACCCGGACACTAAAGACGTTGTCGGGATCCGACGAGCGCGTACGACCTGCCGACTCGATGTGGAGGATCAGCCTTAGAAAGCTGCAGAATCGTCTACATGAATCGGGCGGTGAGAGCCCGGCGCAGCTCTACAGTCGCCCTTGGAAGGACAACGCGGATCCACGCGTGTGACGATCGATCACCGCGCCACGCGCACGCCACCTGATTGGCTGCTTAACATACTGCGCGATCTGCCGTACAAAAGGAAATCGATGCGGTAGCGTTTAGCGATCACTGTTGCGCGTACCGTTGCTGAGGCGTGAGCCACCGGGGAAACCTCCTGAAAAGTCTCTGTCGCGGTAAAGTGTCGTTTGGAGGCAAAGGTCGGTCACCAGTTACTCGAGGAGGACCCGAGACCGTGATGTCCGGTGGAGAAGACGATATAATTGCCGAGTAAGATCCGAGGCTAGCTGTCGACGTCGATAAGTGCCGTTAAGTTCCTCACCCCCGCAACTGCGTGTCGCGTGTTGCTTTTTACCGATCTACCGCTCCGGTGACTCGAATTCCGTTCGTTTAGTGCCGCGGATTCGACACGGAGGTAATCGTGACGAGCGTTACCGTGATATGTCAGGTCTGCGAGGAGAACTGTGTATTTTGTCGTGTTGATAAGTAGAGTAAAGATCGTTCTCTCTCTCTTTTCTACAGTCGCCGCAATCTTTCGTGTAATTGTTCTTGTCGTTGTTCCGTTCTTGTCGTGTAATGTAATAATTGATTAATCGTGCCGTGTTCGCTCGACTTCGTTGTAATTGAGTGCGTGCGTACGCTGTCGTGAACAGTCTTGAGTCGAGCCACCGTTTTTTTGGCGCATTCCGTGCCTATTGTCATTACATCTGCGAGCGCGTCAGCGGCTGTATAAGCTTTTGTTACCGTTGTGTGCTGCGGCTTGCCGCCTAGAAATTATACTTTTCGCTAAGATCCTGTTCTATCGTTACGGTTATCGAAGGCCGTCGTTCACCTACGATGCGGGAAGCGTAGCCGACCAACGTCGCATCCTGCACGCGGACGATTTGTCGTTATTTTGATATCTTATTCGAATCGCCGTTAAGAGCATGCTGAACCGTCCTGTTTTATCATAAAAATAGTAAAATGTCTAAATAATGACTTTTATCAAATGTACTGCACTAATGAGAAAACGGTTCTTCACAATAAAAGAAAACAGTGTAACGAGTCGGGCGAGACAATAAACGTTTATAAAACGGAAAAATTTTTTTTTAAGAAAATTGACTACCTTACATTATCAAGTATGTCTACAGATTTAACAGTTTATATGTCACAAAACACACTTTGGCCCGCTAGATAGAACCTGTAAGAATATTACAAAAGTATTAAAAAACACTTTGAACGCTTGCAGGAAGAGAAAGTATTGAACCTGTAAATTGTAGACACAAAGGTTATTTTTCCTGTCAAAACACTGCACGAAGCACTACGTAGTTCCCAAACTTTGCACCAGAAGAGAAAGACATATGTCTATCCTTGTCTCTCTCATGTTATCTATCCTTGTTTTTGTCTGATTCGATCCCGAGAGATGGCGCCACCTACCCGATAGCGTAGCGATTGAGTAGACGATTGAGCGGACTTTTGCCAGCGGTTCAGCATCCTCTTAATCAGCGTCGTGTGCCGCCGCGTATTCAATTGGCTCTGGCTACTCCGACTCGTTATTAGCGCCCGTGTAAACCGGCGAAGCACCGCCATACGTGTGTCCATTGTCTAAATATACTATACTTTGTTAATTTGTCACGTTATCGTTACTGAGCTGAGTTTCTTTCTCCCATACACCCAAAAGCCGCCTCCCGAACCCCGCCTCTCCGTTTTACATTCTGAGCTGCCGAGTAATTAGTATTTCGAGAGATGGTCGTCACGTCTGAAGTAATTGGTGATATGGTGCCGTGTGTTTGTGCGGTGAGAGGTGTTGCATCAGCCGTACCGGCTGGACTTGCGTAGTTACGCTTGGATATTTTTGGACTTTTTTCGGTGTTTTGTACACCGGTTTTTTAGTTTATTTGTAATTTTAACGAACATATAACTCCGTGACTTGGTGTTAAGTACCCAAACCACGGTTTTAGACCTAGAAATACGAGTACGTAGAATGGCATGTGGACTTGCGTTGTAAGTTCATCATGCCGAGGGACACTAGACAAATAAATATCCGCGATCGTGTTATACATGTGAGTCAGTAAAATCTAGTTTACAACAGAGACTTATCCTACTTAGAAGTGTTTTGTTTACGGTGTTTGAACACACCATATCAAAGACTGGCCTGTGCCTAAACCGTTAAGGGGCCTGCGCCATATTGGCAAAGAAGAAGAAGAAGATGTGTTTGTGCGGTGTGATTTCCACGCCTGGCGCCCAAGTTTTGTTCGTAAACTCTTTAGAGTGAGCCAAGGACGTACCGAAGGTGTGTGCGACGCTCTCGTACACCACCCGAAACGGGAGTAACAAATACAAAAACATAGTTGCTCACAATGTATACTTATATATAAGGCCTTACGAGCCGTTTCCAAGATGTTGAGCAGAAACTGTACGTGTATATATATATGTACATATGCATACACATGTAACAAGTTCAACTTGTAAATTTTTACAAGTGAGTATTTTTTGAATTGAAATCTCAATTCTTAATGTATAGACTTGTTGAGAGACTTGTCAGGCGCTAACAATTAACACTAACAATTTTTAGACCTTTTTATAATGTAATTTACTTCATACTTCTACAGAATTTAATTTAACATATTTTTTAACTTAAATTTTTTCTAAATTAAGCTATCTTTAGTTAACAACAGTTTTTTATACTTTAGTGTG